CCTCAGACCCCCCCTGAGCCCCTCAGACCCCCCCTGAGCCCCTCAGAGCCCCCACAGCCCCTCAGACCCCCCCTGAGCCCCTCAGACCCTCCCTGAGCCCCTCAGACCCCACCTTAGACCCCCATCGCCCCCCTCACACCCGCTCCGAGCAGCCCCCGGTGCCCCCCAGCCCCTCCGGTTCCCCGGGGGTGTGTCCGGGGGTGTGTCCGGGGGGGCGTGTCCCGCCCTGTCCCGCCCAGGTGACGTCACGTGCGTTGCGACGGTGACGTCAGTGTCGCGGGGCGATGCCGTCACGGGCGCGGGGCCGCCATGCACCGGCGGGGGGTGGGCGCGGGGGCGATCGCCAAGAGGAAACTCGCCGAGGTCAGGGCGGGACACGGGACGGGGGACACGGGACGGGGGGTACAGCGGTGGCGAGGGGGGTGTCGGGCCCGGGGACACCGAGACACCCCGGGGCCGAGGGAGGGGGGTCAGGGACCCCGGTATGGGGGGGGGAGCTGCCGCAGCCCCTGGTTCGGGGGAAGGGGAGCTGCCGGGGTCCATTGGTGCCCTGTGAGGGGGGGTAACCCACAGTCTGGGGCAAGGGGAACTGCCAGGGTCAGTTCGTGCCGTGGGAGGGGGATCAGGGCCCCCAGCTTTGGGTGGGGGGAGCTGTCAGAGCCCCTAATTTGGGGTAAGGGGAACTGCCAGAGCCCCTCATTTGGGGTAGGGGGAACTGCCAGAGCCCCTACTTTGAGATGGGGTAAGCTGCCAGAGTCCCTAGTTTGGGATGAGGGAGCAGCCAGAGCTCCTAATTTGGGGTAGGGGGAGCTGCCAGGGTCCATTGGTGCCCCGTGAGGGGGGTCAGGAGCTGCCAGGCTCTTCTGGTGCCGTGAGAGGAGGTTCAGGACCCCCAGTCTCGGGTGGGGGCTCTGCCAGGCTCCGCTGGGGCCAGGTGAGGGGGTCCAGTCCCCCCCAGCCCTGTGTGGGGCCACCCCCATCCTCACCTGGCACCCCATCCCTGCTCTGACAGGGTGCCCTGAGCCTCCCCTGGGCCCTGGATCCTCCTGGTTCCTCCATCCCTGAGGAACAGCTCCCTCCCCACCCTCAGCACCGTGTCCCTCATCCTGTTCTCCCTCTGCAGGCCAAGTACAAGGAGCGAGGGACGGTCCTGGCCGAAGACCAGCTGGCCCAGGTGGGAGATCCCCCCTGCCCTGGGGTTGTCTCCCCTGTCCCCTTCTCCAGCCGTGCCCAGGGCATTTTCCGTGCCCAGTGCCTCGTCTCATCCCCAGTGCTCTCTGCTCCTGGCTTGTTCTCAGTGCTCTCCTCGGTTCCCTTGCAGATGTCCAAGCAGCTGGACATGTTTAAGACCAACCTGGAGGAGTTTGCCAGCAAACACAAGCAGGAGATCCGGAAAAACCCCGAGTTCCGGGTGCAGTTCCAGGACATGTGTGCCACCATCGGGGTGGATCCCTTGGCATGTGAGCAGCAGGCCCTGGGCTGAAGGACAGGATTCATCTCACTCTTCCCAAACAGCTCGTGGTGGAGCTGGGGGAAAGTTGTCCTTGAGGAAAACTGCCAGTGCTTTGATTCCTGGGGCTTGGGAATTGCTGGGATGCACCTTTGGGTGGGGGAAAACGGGTGGAGATAACAAAAATCTGGGTCCTCCCAGTGGGGTTTGTGAGCTGCCTGCTTCACACTAAGAAGGATATTTTTCCAAGTGTTCCCAACCCCTTTTCCCTCTCTCCCTTCCCAGCTGGTAAAGGGTTCTGGTCGGAGATGTTGGGAGTTGGAGACTTTTACTACGAGCTGGGAGTGCAGATCATTGAAGTTTGTTTGGCTCTGAAACACAGGAATGGAGGTGAGGATCCCACGCTGCTTCCTGGGAGACACCACTAACCAGGAGCACTTTTCCCTGTGGAAAATGGGTTGTGTCTCTCAGATTTCACTAATCACTGGGGTGATAATTTTGTCCTTGTTCTGCTTCTACAACCTGTTGTGGCTCCACCACTCTATTGATCCAGAAATCACCAGCTCTGCCCCTGTCTAGGGAACTAAAATATAACTCAGGAGCATGGAAAGGAGCAGGGATCAGTAAAGGAGTATGAGCCTGCCTGGAGCCTGAGATTGGCTCTGAAGGATCCCAGCAATATCCAGAAGGTTGGAATACCAGATATAAGTGCTTAATTAAAAGCCAGTAGGTATTCTTCACTCCAGAAGGGCAGTCTGAGACCAGGGATGGGCTGAAGCAAAGCCAGTGGAACTCCCACATTTGTGGGGGGAGGAAGCAGCTGCCTGGGAACAAGGCTGGGCCATTGTCTCCCCCAGGGCTTCCCAGTGGGAACAATGAACAGACACTGGGGGGCTCTGCCAAAGCACAAAGGAGCCCTGGCTGCTCTCTCTGCAGTAGGTTTGTTGCCATGAGTGATGTTTTCCTGTCCCCTCTTGTTGTCTCCCAGGGCTGATAACACTGGAAGAACTTCACCAGCAAGTGCTGAAGGGGAGAGGGAAGTTTGCTCAGGATGTCAGCCAGTGAGTGTCTGCATGTCACAGGGAAGGGGGATCAGGCAGGATTTGGGGAAGAAAAGGGGGTGACTGGTTTGGGGACTCCAAATTTGACTTCCATGTGATTCACAGTTAATGACCTAGCACCCTGCTGCTGCCTCAAGTGGTTTTCTCTGGGATCCCCGAGGCTTCAAGGGCCAAACTCCTTCTCAACTGCTTTATTGCAGCTGTTGATAACCTGAAACTGCAGCTCCAAGGAGCTCTGCCAGCTCCTGGCTTCTGCTGGAGTCTCCCTCATTTCCAGGTCTGTGGGGGCAGTTCCAGGGGCTCTAACTGACCTCTGCTCCTCAGGGACGATCTCCTCCGGGCCATCAAGAAGCTGAAGGTCTTGGGGAATGGCTTTGGGATTATCCCTGTTGGTGGAACGTTTCTGATCCAGTCTGTGCCAGCGGAGCTGAACATGGATCACACGGTTGTCCTGCAGCTGGCAGAGGTACCAGGCCAGCTTTACACACCCCTTGGGGCTTCCCTGGCAGGGAGCTGGGGTTAGACCTGCAGGCAAAACTGTCCCCACTCTGCTAAACTAAGGATTTAAGTCTTGGCTCGAAGCTGACAGTGTTTTAACTCTTTTTTTTTTTTCCCCAGAAAAAGGGCTTTGTGACAGTCAGTGAGATCAAGTCCAGCCTGAAGTGGGAGACAGAACGTGCAAAGCAAGTGCTGGTACGTGGGGAGGCCTCGTGTGCCAGGGGAGCTCAGTGCCAGGGGGGCTGTTCCTGCAGCCCTGGGGCACACACTGGGCTCGGAATGCAGCAGCAGGGATGCCCAGGGATCCTGAGCTGCTGGAATTCCAAAGGCAGAGCACACACCATGTAAACACAGACTGGGGAAAGCAGAATCCCAGAAGCTGCAGATATTCCCGTGGCTTCATTGATTTCATGGCATGGGTTGGGTTGGGAGGGACCTCAAAGCCCACCCAGTGCCACCCCCTGCCATGGGCAGGGACACCTTCCACTACCCCAGGTTGCTCCAGGTTCCATCCAGCCTGGCCTTGGACACTTCCAGAGATCCAGGGGCAGCCACAGCTTCTCTGGGCAACCTGTGCCAGGGCCTCCCCACCCTCACAGGGAGGAATTCCTTCCCAGCATCCCACCTAACCCTGCCCTCTGGGAATCTTTGGAGTCAGTTTGAATGCTGTGAGCTCATGAACACAGGAAGATGTCTGGACTACATTTCTCCTGGCCCAAGCTGTACCCCCCCTTCCTTGGGATAAATGTGGGTTGGGCTCTCCTGGGAATGCCCCCTGAGCCATTGAAGTGTCACTCACAGTTTCTGCTCTGTTTGCACAGGAACACTTGCTGAAGGAAGGAATGGCCTGGCTGGATGAGCAGGCACCAGAAGAACCTCAGTACTGGCTCCCTGCTCTCTTTACAGAGCTGTACTCTCAGGAAATCACTCCAGAGGAAGCCAAGGAGGCAATTCCTTGACTGCTCCCTGTTCTGTGCCTGTCTAGAATCCTCGGGAGGTTCTTTGCATATCACCTGAAACACAGGGACAGTGGACTTGAAATAAAAGGCTTTTGTAACAAGTGTCTACCTTGAAAATCTTCTGGGATTCACTCCTGCTGGCTTACCTCTGGATTTGCTCCCTGGCTGGGGGTGGAAATGCCACTTGCTACTGGAAACTAAATGTCACAGCAAGAGGAAAATTATCTGGAGTCTTAAAGGATGCAAATGGGATTCTGGCTAAAGAAGTGGGGAAGCTCTTGTATGGCTCTCTGCTCTGGGAAGGAGTTGTTGGTTGGTTGGTTGTTGTTCCTCTAAGGAATCACCACAGGCTCCATTCTGCCAAAACAAACTTTATTGCACAAAAAAAAAAAAAAAAAGAAAAAAAAAAAAAAAAAAAAGAATCTTATGTACAATAGTATATAAACAAGGTATCTTAGAGTGACTCTTGTGCATATATTTTCAACTCAATTAGGTCTAAAAATCTGTTGCTAAAACATCTCTGCCTAGAGCAGTCATTGAGGATTGTCACTTGGAAATGGAGACATTCAGAAATGGCAGGACAGAACATCAGAGCTAGAAAACTAATACTTCTCTTACAGCCACATGCGAGGTGGGTGAGCAGTGTCCACAATAAGGCATTTTCTCGTTCCCTTGGAGGGGTGATGGTCACACCACATGCACCACACGGGGCAGAGCCAGCCCTGCCCCGGGCAGGCAGAGCCACAGCTCCCCCCACCACGTACTGAGGGGACAAACAACGTGACATTTACAGTGGGAGGTGCTGCCAGACCTCTCAGGAGACCCAAAACTCACCCCAGGGTGAACCCCACTCCCTTCACCCCCCGCTCAGCGAGTCCTATGTCAGCTCAGCTTTCCCTCCAGGGAACATTTTCAGTCTGAATCACGACCCGGGGGAGTTTGCTAAAGGGGGAAAACCAAATTTCTCCGGTTGTTAAACAACACCTGAATTCAGAAATGTTTCCACCTTTCAGCTTTGCAGAGTGCAGGGTTCTGAGGGCCGTGAGAGTTGGGATCAGTCACAAAGGCTGGGAATGATCCCGTGGCACACGGGGCATCGCCTCGCTGTGCTGGTGCTGGAAGTTCTCCCACCACCACCAGGAATCTGCAACGGGGCCAGACTGGTGGGAAGGTGTTTAAGGAAACTGGGAGAGGGCCCAGGACAATGTGCAACTTCGTGCTTAGCTTTCTATCAAAGCTCCCATACAAATAATTAAAAAAAAAAAAAAAAAAAAAGATCATAAGCTCTTTATCAACAAAACTCTGCTCCAATCAATCCTCCCCAGGCTCCACTACCTGGAGAAAGTGGGTTTCTCACCTCCACCCACTGAACACGTTGGAGGGAATGGCACAGCCAGCAGATACCTCTCCAAGAGGAAAAACCTGCTCTCTGAAACACTCACATACACTCAAGTGTCAAAGTTTTCCAACACTCAGCCAAGTTTGGCAAAGGAATTTGTCCGTAACGAGGCGTCCACCTCCACAAAACTCCAGCCAGGAGTTGCCCCTTATTCCATTCCAGCATTTCCATCTGAGGGACCAAGGGAGCAGCAGGGAGGGAGGTGCAGGAGGAAAATGGGAGGAAAATAAAATGTGACACCGACTGGAGAGGTGGGAAGCAGAGAACTTCAGGTGAGGAAACACGAATGAAATACTTTAAATTCAAATCAACACCTTAAAAAAATAATACACAAACTAGACTGGTTTGTAAGTGCTTCCCCCCCATCTCTGACCAACGAGTTTCTCATCCTCCCTTCCCCAAAAATGCCAGGATGGCCAATCCTGCACTCCACTTACTCATCCCTGCAGCTTCCACTTCCCACCTGCCCCTTTGCACCCAGGGTTTCAAAAGCCACCCAGGGCTTGAGTAAAGCTTTCAGAAAGGAGCCCAAACTCCACCACTGCTCTTTATCTTTGGTCTGCCTAGGAGAAAGACATCAGGTAGCTGGGCTCCACGGAGCAGAGAGGCTCCACCTGCCCCAGGTTTCACCTGGACTCACACCCTGGACTCAGGGAAGCGCTCCCACAGCCACAGCTCCACGTTCAGCCCCGGGGGAAGGGCTCACTGTCTAGGAACAGAGAAGCTGCCAAGGGTTTGCAGTCTAGATCTCATTCTTTAATCAAATGGAGGGGGGAAAAAAAAAACCAAAACAAAAAAAAAAAATCAAAAAAAAAAAAAAACCTCAAACAACCAGTGTAGGTGTTTCCAAAAACACAAATAACCTGACGCCACATGCTCCGGCTTTTCTAGCGCAGGGAGTACCTTCGGGAGAGCCTGGCACGAGCTGGGCTTTGTCTGGAGTCTCCTCAGTCAGCGTTTCCCACCAGAGCAGTGAGGGAGGCAGGAGGGTCCCCCCGTGCTCCCTGCTCTGGCAGTGGGTGGGTGCTGGAGTCTGTCAGGGCTGTGGGCAGAGCAGCCCCCGCTCTAAGCTTTGGAGCAGCCCTGCGGCTCCGGCTCTGTCTCGGAGGAGCTGCTCTCAGAGTCCAGCTCCGGGGGCTCCTGCTGGTGCTTCTCCTGCACCTTCTGCCGGATCCCCTGCAAACGCACCAGCAGGGACTGGTAGTCAAAGTGGCCTCGCTTTTCACCGAAAGGATCCTGAAAGAAAAGCAGGGATGAGCCTGTGAATGCAGCCCA